AAAGAAAGAAAGAAAGAAAGAAAGAAAAAACATTTTATCAAATGGGCTTAATAGCAGATTGGACCTAACAAAAGGAAGCTTAGGGAACTTACAGATAGATTAATAGAAATTATCCAATCTGAAGAACAAAGAGGAAAATTACAGGACTTAAAATGAATGGAGATTCAGGGACCTATAAGGTAAAATTAAAATGTCTAGTATATGTTTATTTGGAATTTGAGAAGGAGAGAAATGGGAAAATGGAACAGAAAAATACCTGAAGAAATACCGGCCAAAAAATTTTCCAAATTTGGTGAAAGACATAAAGTTGTCAATTAAAAAAAATAGCCAGAAGAAAAACACCTGGACACAATAAAAATGTTGAAGAGAAGAAAATCATACCACCAGCACTGAATTCTGTATCCTTAAAGACACCTTAAAGATGCAGATGAAATAAAGGCCTTTTTGGATTAACAAAAACTTAAGAATTTTTTATCAGCACAAGTTCACTATAAGGAGTTCTAAAGGAAATTCATCAGGTTAAAGGGTAGTGATACCAGATGCAAGCTCAGGTCTTCAGGAAATAGTAAATGTGTAAGGAAAGACATAGGATTACTTTTCTTCCTCTTTTAAAAAATCTGTGACTTTTAAAAGCTATAACTGGGGGTGTGCGCAGCAGGGGGCCTAAAGAGAGAGCTCCTCTGTTCACAACACACCTGACAGGAATCTGGGCTCACTGTGACAAGGGGCCCCAAACTGGGGGCCTTCCTATGAACACATATGCTACTCGTGTCCCCTTGCACCTCCATATGGCTGCTGGGCAGGACCAGTGGGACAGGGATCACTATTGGAAGAAAAACCACAGTATTTAGTGGGGGAATTTGCCACCTAGAGCCTGTCCAGTCCATGCATGGGTGGGCCAAGAGTGGTCTTACAGACATGAAGGCTTTGAACCTCTTTTCAAGGGAAAAGAGAGATTCCATATGCCATTCTGAGGACAGAAGGATTTTAGAGGAGTGAATATACTTTGTATGACATTAGAACAATGGCTATCCATGTCATTTTACTTTTGTCCAAACTAAGATGGACTGTGGACTTTGACTATGATGTGTCAATGTACGTTCATCCTTAGTTTAAAAAAAGAAAAAGTACCACTCTGGTAAATAAAAATAATGACTACACATATGTGTGGAAAGGGGTATATGGGAAATTTCTGTACCTTCCTGTCAATTTTGTTGTAAACCTAAAACTGCTTTAAAAAAAAAAAAAGTCTTAAAAACAAGGAAACTCAGGGTAGACATTTCGGGCAAAACTTTGGTTTCAGTTATATACATATATGTGTGTGTGTGCTGGCTTGTGATGTAAAATGTATTTTTTAGATCAAAAAAGTTTGTAAGCCACTGTAATTAAGTTACACTGGCAAATAAAAGCAAAAATTAACCTCAAAAAAATTTTAAAAATAAAAGCTAAAACTGTAACATTGTATTGTGGGGTTATATAAAGTATCAGGAATGGAGAGCAGTAAATGATTCTTACGTGTGGGAGGTACAACAGTAACACAAGTAATGTTGCTTAAACCTAAGGATATATATTATAGACCTTAGAATAATCACTCAAAACATAATGCAAAGAGCTACATTAAACATACAATACATAAAGTAAAATGAAATTTAAAAAAATTTGGTTAACCCAAAAGAAGTCAGGGAAAGAGGAACAGAGACACAAACAGAAACCTTGGAGGGCAAAACAAAAAAGAAAACTTGGGGCTGAGGAGGGAGCCTAATAAGATGGTTGCTCAAAATTCAGTCACATCAATAATTAATTCAAGTATAAATTAACCAGTTATTCTAATTGAAAGGAATTTTCTTTGTGTGTTTCTGTGTCAAGACGCAACTACATGATATCTATGAAAGATACACTTTTAACTATAAAGACACAGGTTGAAAGTAAATGTGTAGAAAAAAGTATACTATCTAAACAGTAAATATAGTAAAGTTAGACTATATTAATATTAGGTAAAAAGTATTACCAGACGAAGAATCTTTAGACTAGAGATTTCGTAATGTTGAGAAGGTCAGTTCTTTAGGAAGACTGTTTATGCCTGATAACAAAGCTTCAAAATACATGAAGCAAACATTAATAGAATTGAAAGCTAGAATTTCAAATCGATAACCACTGTTGCACATTTTAACATCCCCTGTTAACAGAAGAACTAAACATCAGAGATAATAAAAATAATGTGTAGTTCCTTTACTGAACACAAGATGGCAAAGTAGTCACAGTACTTGCAAAAATGGATCCATGCATTTGAATACAGTGAACTATGCCATGATTTTACTAGGTGAGCACACCTTTTTCCTTCACTTATTTTAGAACCAACAAAATGAGCAGTGATGATTAGTGAAATAAATAGGAATACCGCAGTGTAGTAGCATAATACATTGCACATACATGGTACATATAAATAAATTTTTGTTGAATGAATATAATGTTGGGCTTTGGAGTTACATTTGTGTTTGAATTTTAAAACAAATTATTTTAAAATCTAATCAAAAAAAGCACTTTTAGTTATAGCAGTAGTTCTCAAACTTTTTGGTTTTAAGATCCCTTACTCTTAAAAATTATTGAACCCCAAAGAACTTTTGTTTATGGTGGTTATGGCTAATGATGTTTACCCTTTAGAAATTAAAATTGAGAAATGGAAATAATTTTTAAAATTAATTTAAAAATAAAAGTAAATTCACTCTGTGTTATCATAAACAATAATATTTTCATGGAAAATGAAATTTTAACAAAATAAAATATAATGAGAATGATGTTGTTTTACATTTTGGCAAATATCTTTAATATGTGGCTTAATAGATGACAACTATATTCTCATATCACCTTCTGCATTTAATCTTATACACTTGTGAAAAAAAATGAGATTTTTAAAAAGGCAGACAGCATCTTAGTTTTATTATGAAAAGTTTTGGCCTTGGACCACCAAAAGAGTCTTGAGCTCTGCAGGAGCCCCTGGACCACACTGTGAAACTCTCTGACTTTCAAAATAGAACAAAGGGAAAGTGAAAACTTAATAGTGAATGTGTGGCCTGAACCGTGAGGATGCAGTTCACTCCTTATTGGTGGGCTCTTAGGTTTCACATACATGGTTACCTAACCTGAAAAATTGTGGCAGCCTCATCTGGGAGATAGATTAATAGATATGAAATAGGTATTTGAGTCTTACATTGTCTGTCTCATATAGGACTGGGAGTTGAGCATAGTTTAGTGCATGCCGCAGTCCAGTTCTGAGTTCAGTTATCTGAGACACAAGGTGTGATTCAGTTTCTATAGATGGGAAAAGGTGTTTCCTCTCTGAGGGGAGTTGGAGTAGTGAGTTAAGAAAGAGTTCTCTGGAATTGCAGCCTTCACACATTGCTGCAGAGAATAGAAAACAGTCTGGTAGTTCCTCAGAAGGTTAAACATAAAGGTACCATATGACTCTGCAAATTCACTCCAAGGCATATACTTAAAAGAAATAAAAATATTTGTCCACACAAAAACATGTACACAGATGTTCACAGCAGCATTATTTGTAATAGCCAAAAAGTGAAAACCACCTAAATGTCCCTGAACTGATGAATGGATAAACAAAATGCAGCCTCTCCATACATAGAATATTATTCAGTCATAAAGAGGAATGATACATGCAACAACATGGATGAAACTTGAAAATATTATACTAAGTGAGAGAAAGCAAATAACAAAAGGTCATGTATTGTATGAGTCCATTTATGTGAAATGCCTAAAATATGTAAGTCTAAAGAGACGGAAAGTACCTTGCTCGTTGCCTAGGGCTGGGGAGGGTGGGAGGAATGGTACTTGGAGAATGTTTCTGCATGTGGTTAAATTGTAATATCTGTTATGTGGCCAGTGGCCCCTATATTGGAACTCATAATTCTTCACGATATCAATTATCAAAGCCTCAAAGGGAGTCTCTCCCCTTTAAAGAACTAATGAATGAGTCACTCTTGTTTGCTTGTTTGTTTGTTTCCTTTTAATACTTTTTAAGACCAGATAATGAGACTGTAGTGACTAGTGTCTCTTTTGGCCTTGGCTGCTAGGAAGATCAGGACTATACTTAGTTGCTCAATCACAGTAACTAGCTAGGTTAGATAACTGGTATATTTTCTTTTCTTTTACATGTTTTATTGTGGGTTTTTTAAATTTTTACATGCAAACTTACACAAACTTATTTTATTTTAAGATGCCTGTAGTCTTTATCAGTAAGCAGCTGGGGTTTAAATTACAGCAGATATAGAAAGTATATGTGAAAAACTAGAGGCAGCATTTGCCAAGAAGGAAAAGAGCTCTTTGTGTGTAAAACGGCAACATCAGTTTCCAGGTTATACCTGAAATGATGTTGATCGTTGAGCTGAGCTTTAAACAAGCAGTGAGCTCCTAGAGGCTGCTACTGTTCAGGCAGATGCTGGATGACGGTCTGTCTGCAGATCCTGTAGACATGAATCCTGTACTGGATGAGAGAGCAGACTGAAAATTGCCTTTAGTGTCCTCCCAGTCTGAAGACTCTTCGTTCTGTGATTAAATTGGCAGTATGAGCTTCTGACAATACAAAGCACTAAGTGGTCATTTTAAAGTGCATGATTTTTGTTCTAAGAACTTATTTGAGAGCTCAGAATTCCAGACATACAACACAAAAGAGATAATTTAGGGTAAACTTATTAGAACAGGTACCACTGTACATTGCCTAAAGAACTCAGTGTAGCTGTTGTTTTGACTTGTGTACTTTCAGTTGCACTGCAGTTCTCTTGGTATGAATTAGCTATAAAATGTACTCCTGAATGTTGCTAGGGCATTTAAAAAATGATGTACGTCAACACTAGAGTGTGTGTGTGTGTGTGTGTGTGTGTATTGCAGTTCTCTGTAAGTCTTTTGCATATCTGCACATCTTGCAAGCGGAGTCACTGACTGTCTTTGTTCCAGGCAGTCTTTTCAGGGATGTTTGCATAGTGAACGACCTTAGATGGTAGAGCTAGTGTCTCCCTCTAGAGCAAAGGACAGGCTTCCTTACTGTTCGATGTAATAAAGATAATGTCTCCTGCCAGAACAAAGGGCAAATATATTTACTGCCTATTATAAAAGATTCGAGTTTCCTAAGTTCAAGATGCCTTTTCCATCACACAGCACATTGAGTGTACGGGTATTATCAGGACCTCTTCACATGGCTCTGTGGGAACTGGGATTCAGGGAACTTATGCAGAGGCTGCTGTTTTAGTTACTGCTGTTGATGTAAGAAGCTATCCTTTGTCTCTAATCTAGGAGTCCCATGTTTTCTGTCAGGACCCATGAAACTGGCAGGCTAACTTGTTAGCTTGTAAGTATGGTAAAATCTCAGACCTTTTATATTCTTAAAACTTTGAATAATCGTTTGTTAAATGGAATGTTTTTGGATAGATTTATTGAAACATGTTTCTAATTTGTACAGTTTTTAAGAAGTTCATTTAGGGTATTATTTCTCCTTATTTGATGTAGGGTTTGTTTATAATGTCAGCCCGTATATGGAGTATCATCCTGGTGGCGAAGATGAACTTATGAGAGCAGCAGGATCCGATGGCACTGACCTTTTTGATCAGGTAAGTTGCTGAAAGTAATCATTCTGTCACAGTGGGAAGAGTACCCTTAGGTTTAGTAGTGTGATGGTGGTAGAAGGAAAAAAAAGTAGTTGCATAAATCTCAGGTATGTTGGCTTCAATCTTGAATTGTGGGTAGATGCTCATAAGTAACAACT